ACCCCGAGATCGTTAAACGTTCTCTTTTTTTCTATTTTGTTTCTTTAGGAAAGTTACGAAAGGGGGTCACCCAACGAACTCAGCACAATTAAGGTCAGTGAGGTTGACTACCATACGAACGTGAACAAAAGCGTTTTCCAATGACCCCAACAAAAGATAACGTGCAACCTTTAGCCTGCATGTTGTCTTATCTGGGTCACCTTACTAACAGAAGAACTTCGAAAACATAAAGTTCACAATAAAAAAATGGCCCACTGAAGCCGATTCTTTTTTTTTTTCTCTTTTTGTCACCCGCTTCAGGTTGCTTCCAGATCCATAAAATACGGATCTATTTTGCTTCCCATCTCACTCTCGATTTCAAAATGGGGGTAGTTACTACTAAGATAGGTGGGCGATATCCGTCTTCACGAAGGACATTCCTACACTTGCATTAAGGTTAACGAAACTACGTTGTATTCGGCCTGCCGCCGAAGAGGAGTTCGTAAAACTAAAATAGTCACCGATCACGCCAAGACTCGTGTAATCTCTTATTCCAGTGACCATACGCATGCATTTGACTCCACCGAGATAAACGTTCTTCGAATTCGTCATCAGATGAAGGAAAAGGCTGGTATGTACCAAAATATGTTCCTGCTCTTATACTCTCAAAACAAGTTCACTAATGTCCAACATTGTAAAACCCGAGACGTAGGACAAGAAAAAAAGAAGAAAAACGGGACAACATGTTCCCTTTGTTCTTCTTTTTTGTCCTAAGTGTCGGGTTTTACAATGTTGAAAGCTCACCAGCTCGCTTGCATCTTCTCTGTAATTTCTATCCTTACTAATGTCCTTTATTCCAGTAGGAGGCCGTCTAGCACCGCACCAAATACTTCTGGATGCGGCTGCCTGTGACGGCAGCGCATCGCAGATTCTCGCACCGTCAACACTTCGGCGCACAATCCGCAAGCAAAGGCAGCGGTCGAAAATCGATTACAGCGTACCATCTTGCAGAGCCGAGATATGAATGCCCAAAGAGTTTAAGGTAAAGCGCATTGCAGCGCAAAAGCACAGTGCTCGACATATTATGATAATAATGACTTGGAGATTCCCTTTTCTTCTACGACAGCGGAGAAGGCGACAGCGAAAGAATTCTCATTCTTTCGACGTCATAATTTAAGCCAATTGGTTATTTTATTTTTTGTGGATTTTCAGATGAGAATGGTTCCAGCATTGGCCTTCTTTGCCAATCGCCGACATTCCCGAGGCCTTCTAGGACCTTCTCGAGGTTTTCCCCACCGATGCCTCACTCGTGGCGGACTACTCCGAGGACGTGTATATCAAGAGACCCCGTGGAAACGGCTTGTCGTCGGCCACCTTCCCTCCTCTGGTTTGGACAGTCAGAGAAACAACACTAGCACAAATGCCAAGGACTAACAACAGCATCGAAGCGTGGCACCGGGGACTGCAGGTAAGAGCTGAACTAATCCTCTGAGAGTTTGAAAGTTTTCTGTAGTACATTTTTGCATTTGTGGCTCAAACTTTCAGTACGGTGCTCACTCGGAAGGCTTCCTCCGCCTGTGTGTGTGTGTGTCTTTTTTTTTTTTTTATGCACGAGCAACGTGGGCTGCAGCTCTCCGAATATCTGGGTCTTCCTGGGCTGCATAAAGAGAGAGAGCAGTCCTTGGCAGAGATGAAGCTGGCTCGAGCAGAGTGCGGCATGACATCTTCGAGGGTGTCCGAGAAGCACGCCGACTGCAACCGGTGTCTTCAAGTCAATGTAAGCCTCTACAATGGTCGCAATCGTCTTGAAACCTTGGGGACGGCCGCTCGGAATATCGCTTTTTAATTTGTTTTTATTTTGCTCAATAAACCTGTTGTTTTCTAAGTACAACGATGACTTGTTTGGATGTTCCCTCTCTTCAGTAAAAATGAAATATACCGCACTAATCTTTATTGCATGAACAGCCAGGTGAATATATGTTGGGCAAATTCAAATATCCGGTTCGTATAGTGACAAACTTTCCTAGTGACGAATTCCCCTATGACGAATGTTCCGCTGTGACGAACGGGCCTATTACCAGTTGGCCTATGACGAATGCGCACATGACAAACGGGCCTACACCCGCTAAGATAAGAGGTGACCGACTTTCTGAGGCCCAACCAACATTCAATGTTCGGGACCGAATCAGAAGCTAAAACGTTCCTTACAAATTCTTCGGCTTTGTCCGCCCGAACCAAATTGAACAATACATTTTTGGGGGGACGAACTATTGTGAGACCGGTTGGCCGCGTGACGAGTCATCCTATGACGAATGTTCCTGTGTGACGAATCGTCCTGTGACGAGTGTGCATGTGACGAATGGACCGTATCCCATCCTTTGCGCACTCATTACATCTATAACACTCAGCCACCTCGTATCCTTTTGTTTTTCTTTCATGGTACTAATTTCTTCCTGCGCATTACGGCTGTTACGACGCTAAGTCTGTCTGCCCTTCGAATTTAAACTTAGGCTCAGATCAGGGACGAACCAGTTTAAATCAGGAAAATATAATTAACACTGTAGCAAAGTAAATCTATCATATCGATCGGAAATACGATTTGGCACATTCCATCTGAACACATATTGTGCACAGCGAATGCAATAGCGAGTCAGCGTGCAAAACGGCGCCACACTGAGCTACCATAACATCTCAGCGATTTTTGCATAGCACCGAGCACGGAAAAGAGAAAACAGTTATTCATTCACATAAACGAAGCAAATTTATTTAAAGCCCGGACACTCCGTACGTCCAATCTAGCTAAGGTTATCAATAGACTCGACCATGTCATTTGTCGAAACAGATAAAAGACGTTGGCAAAAATGATTAGACTGAATAAGTCAATCTAACGCACGTATTTTACCAACCGACGGTCGCGCGCCTTCAATACCCTTTCCAATTGTCATTGCGCACCTTGGACACACTTTGGGAAGCAATGCATATTTACATCGCCGCCCGAGGTCTCCATTAAACGTGTAGTGCTGACCCAAATAAAATGCTAACCTGACTCTCAATCGCTCACCGCAAAGGACGATTTCGAACAGGCGGTACTGTAGGTCACTTGAGATGAAAAAAAAAAAAAAGAAAAACAAGCTATAGAAACAAGCGTCGTAAAAAAGGGGACCGGCATTTTTATTCCTACCTCCGAACAGAAACGAGCGCCACCCACTGCATCACACAGCGCAGAGGCCGGACTCGGTCACCGCGCGTACATACCAAGCGCGCGCGAGGGATGCAGAAACTTCCTCCGCCGGGAGAACACGGCAGATTTCGGGATCTATTTCACGCAGCGGATAACGCGGGCCTTTTCACACCTCGATATTGGCGCCATCTAGAAGTTACGCGTTCAACCACGTTTCGAGCCGCGCGCCATCTGGTGGCTGAAACGGACGAATAAATAGAGGTACCGCGTGCATAGATATGCATACTTACACGGTTCCGTGTAAGTATGCATATCTTCTGTCGGGTTATATGTAGAATCAATGTCTTTTTCTGTAATTACGCAATGGATATTAAACGTGAATTATTCTACGTCATTATTCCTTTAGTTTGAGCCTGAACCAGTGCCTGGCTCTGCCTGAGGCGCATATATTTTTTCATGGTTGAAGAAGCTTTGTTTCATTGTATACTTAGTCAAGATCTGCTTGTTTGATATCGTTCGAGCATAGATTTTATATTACAAAGACAGCAATACATTTTAGAGGACACAATAACACATATATCATTTTATATTTATTGTCAGTTGTATTGAACATCGCAATAGTACAACCATAGCAATATGCACAGATCAAGCATACGGAGGCAAATACAGGGTGAAACAAGGAGACGGCAGGCTCTTTAAATCGACCGGAAAATTCGGTTTCTCAACCTATCGCGCTACGACTTTGTGTAGCGTTGCCCACAAATGGTGCATTTTTTTTTTTTTGTAAAATTTGCAAAGAGCGAACTTACCTGAGGAAAAAGTAAAGAAAGAAAAAGGCTTAGCTCCTATGGAAACGCAGCGACGCCACCGGTCTTCAAACAACACGGCGCCGTTTCGCATGGGAGACAAGAGATGGCGCAACGAACGTCGCCAACGATCGAGCATACGGCGCCGAGAGCCGGCACTTTAGCAGACGATCGTTTCGACTCAAAAGCGGCTCGCATTCCGCAGGCGGCGACAGTCGCAGAAACAAAAACAGGCGCGGTAACAAGGAACGTCTGCTAAATACGCCGGCTCTCGGCGTCGTCTGCTCGTTCGTTGGCGGCAGTTGGCGTCGCGACCGCTTGCGCCATCTCTTGCCTTCCATGCGAAACGGCGCCGTGTTGTTTGCAGACCTGTGGCGTCGCTGCGTTTCCATAGGAGCTAAGCCTTTTTCTTTCTTTACTTTTTCCTCAGGTAAGTTCGCTCTTTGCAAATTTTACAAAAAAAAATGCACCATCTGTGGGCAACGCTGTACAAAGTCGTGGCGCGATAGGTTAAGAAACCGAATTTTCCGGTCGATTTAAAGAGCCTGCCGTCTCCTTGTTTCACCCTGTAGTGTGCTCCTCTTTGGCCTTGTCTTGACTCATGAGGTTTACTCGTGTCGCGAGCATTCTGTTCTACTCTTTATCATCTTTTACTGTGTTTCAGATATTCTTTGTCTTCAGTATATGTTCAGTTGCATCGCAACTGCACATTTTTTTACTAATAAATTTACTAATTGGACACCTGGTGCTTGTTTTTGTGGCGCCCTTTCCGCTAATGCTGTTCCCTAATATTCAGCCGCCGATTCTATCTAAAGACTAGGGTGTGGACAGTCGAACTGTATCTTAGTGTGCTGTACGAAAACGTAAGTTATTAAAATTTATACAATTAATAAGAACTGTACATGAGTGCGTTTGTAAAATAACTGATGCGTCATAAATAAACAAATATATATATATATATATATATATATATATATTGAGGTTAATTGCCGATCTGCAATTGATTGATTGATTGAACAACTTTATTGGCGCAGGTGTCGGTGTCCCCAGAGGAAGTGGCCAAACCATTTGTGCTGGAATGCGAGGCCGAAGGCAACCCCGAGCCGACGTACCAGTGGACCAAAAACGGCAATGAGTTCAACCCGGTTGCGCACGACACGCGCGTCTCGCAATTGCCCAACAGGGGCACGCTTGTCTTCACCAAGCCCGAGGACATGGACGAGGGGCTCTACCAGTGCTGGGCCACAAACATCCACGGCACGGCCGTGTCCAACGCGAGCATCGTGCGCAAGTCAGGTCCGTTCCCGGCAGCTTTGCTTCTGATCGTTTTCGCCAGCTAATGACGAAATAAAATTGAACGAGAGAAATGGACGAAGAGCAAAGAGCTAGTTGATGAAATACAAGAATTAAACAAAGAAAAAAAAACACTCAGGGACAAGGACAAATATCTGCTACGCGTATGTTTATCAGGGGGCGGATCCAGGGGGGGGGGGGGGGGGGGGGGGCGACGGGGGCGGCCGCCCCCCTTAGACGAAGTCGGCTCCCCCCCTCCCCCGTTTCTTGGAGGGCAATTTGACATGGGTGGACCCGTCGGTGCACCAGAAAGAATGGGAGAGTATTCTTACAAATCCCCCCCCCCCCCCCCCCCCAAACGAAGTCGGCTCCCCCCCTCCCCCCTTCTTGGAGGGCAATAGGACATGGATGGACCCGTCGGTGCACAAGAAAGAATGGGAGAGTATTCTTACAACCCCCCCCCCCCCCCCAAACGGGGTTCTGGATTCGTCCCTGATGTTTATGCAGCCGAAAGAATGGGAGAGTATTCTTACAAATTCCCCTCCCCCCAAACGAAGTCGGCTCCCCCCCTCCCTCCTTCTTGGAGGGCAGTAGGACATGGATGGACCCGTCGGTGCACAAGAAAGAATGGGAGAGTATTCTTACAAACCCCCCCCCCCCCCCCCCCCAAACGGGGTTCTGGATTCGTCCCTGATGTTTACGCAGCCGAAACTTAGTCTGCCTCAATGGGCGCGTTGTCTCAGGTGTAGATGAGCCATTTAGCCGGTGCAGTACTACCGCTAACCAGTGTTGGAGGTAACGCGTTACTAGTAACGACGTTACTGGTAACGCGTTACATTTTTCGCTAACGCAGTAACGTACTCGTTAGTATTCTGAATGACTAACGAGGAAAGTATTTCCGTTACTTTTTTACGGTATCGGCTGTCAAATTTCGTTACTCGTTACTTTTGACCAAAACTGGTGAAATCCTGCACTAGCTAATCTCTAAATCCTGCACCAGCTTATCGCTGCACGGAACCAGCATCCGTCACAGTAAAGTTAAAAAAAAGACTCGCTTCTCGAAGGCGAAAAAAAACCGGCTACCAGCTAATTCCGTTCATCATCCTTTTTTTTTTTTATAGTGTTACCACCCACAAGGATTGAACGAACCACTGCGTCACAGCCTCCTCCCCTCCCTCCTCTTCCCCCCCCCTACTTTGTGCAGCAGAAGTGGACAGCGGGGGGGGGGGGGGGGGGGAAGGGGGAAGCCGTGGAGAGACATCCGTTTACAACAGTGGACAACTAGTGGCGAAGCGATTTGCTCATTTCTCAAGTTTCAAAAGAAGAAACACCCTTTGTGGAATATGTTTATCTCGCTCTCCCCCTCGCTGCCTGAAAGTTCCTGGTTCCTGACCCACTTTTGTACACAGAAGTATGATTCGCTTGATTAGTCATAATAAAAAACAAAAAAAAAAGTTTTAAACCTGGAAAGAAAACTTAAACACGAAACCCTTTTTTTTTCACATAAAAACTAAGAGCTACTGCTGGGTAAGAGGCAGCAAGTGATTATAGCCAGTGTGCTGGTAACCGGTGTCCTGTTCCAGATAGTGAAGTAAATCAGTCTCTGGTAATAGTATGAACCGGACTGTTACTAAAACCGGCGTACAGATGAGGGGTGTTGGTTGGCTGTTTGCGTTCCAGCAGTCCTCGTTCGCGCGCTGTAGTTTATAAAAGCCGATTGACTAACATCTCCGACTCATTCTGCGCGTGAGATGGGCATGAATAACGAAAGTCCGTCGCCATGGCCAGCAGGTCTGAATGAAATGCATCAACTAAAGGAGACAGAATCGGGTAATTTACAGTTTCAATGCCTAATCTGCATGCCGAAAATTAAGCTGCTTCGCGCATCAAAACACTATGAAACCACTCTGTAAATTTTTATCTTGATCCAAGCTTGTTAAGGAAGCTTATCATACATCTCTGCCAAACCTATGTACTCGAACAGAAAAGTAACGTAAAAGTAACGTTCGTTATTTTTGAAAAGTAACGGTAACGGTATATCGTTACGTTTGTAAAAGAGTAACGTAGCTCGATAACGCGTTACTTTTTATCAAACTAACGAGTAACGCTATTTCGTTACTTTTTTTCGGTAACGGGCACAGCGCTGCCGCTAACCTGGGGCCTTTAACGTGCACCACGCCGTATAGCAATACAAGTCGGTACGATGCTCATCCAGATCGAAACAGGCAGGAGATATGGAGGAGGGGGGGGGGGGGGGGGGGGGATCGAATTGAGCATCCCTGGGTTCTGCTGCGCGAGCTTTGGCTTCGCGTGCTCCGAGCTAGTGTACGCTAAAGTCGCTGTATCCCGGAAAAGTAGCGCCAAGCTTCCCGAAATATCGCCATTTTGGCTCATGTCATGAGCAATTTATCCTCGACCTTTCCGTCCTTGGTGAAACATTCTAAGTTCACTGGTGATGGCTAGCTTTATAGAGACGTTTTTTGTATACCGAGATTTTGCTTTCCTCACACCGACAAAACAAACGTACATCTTGCTACACCGCCACCACATGCGGTGTCGGTTCTTGGAATCATTGAAAAATCATTTTCTTGTCTTCCAATACGCAAGAACAATATACTAACTGTAGGAGATTCGTTGAGATGGGCGTGAGAGTGCCATGGCGATGCGTATACTGTGCCAAATAAGTTTATATAGGCGAGGAACGCTGATCAGTACGACGATGCTTTATGGCGATCTTGGTGCGATTGGTTTAGAACGACCCTCTCGAAGCTTCGATGATATGAAGGGGCCGAAATGGTGATTGCCATGGCAACAGACCCCGATCAGCCAGTCACCTCGCAAGGTTCTGGTCGTCTGTATGATAGTATCTGTCTGTGTCGAGCTATACTCTATTTCAGCTTATGATGTACCGCAGGAAAGGCTACAAGCGCGAGCTCCTTGCTCTAGGGCACATCTCGGCGGCACAAGCTTTCGTGCGTTCAGGGCAGCAGCCAACGCGATGAGCTCGCCCTCTTGCCTTCGCTGCGGTACGACATACACTCTAAGAAAAAGGTATCACCTTACACCCGTTTGTCCCATATACAAACCAAAAACTTCATTTCGACGTACAGCGCCCTATAGTCGAACAGACGGCCCTAACGTTTACGAGGGTCTTGATAAGGGTGCGAAACCCTAGTGAAAAAAGCCGCTTGTATGAGAAATTCCTTGTGTCCAATAAAACATATGAATCATGCAAGATATATAAGAACATATAAGAGCTATATAGGAACCACACGAGAACTATATAAGAACTATATAAAATATATCAGAACCAGATAAGAAACTTATAAGAAACTTCTCACAAGTTTCTTATATGGTGCTTGTATGTTCTTATATATCTTCTATAGTTCTTGTATGTCTCTCATATGGTTCCTATATGTTCTTATATATCTTGTATGATTCATATGTGTTTATTGGACACAAAAGATTTCTCATACAAATGAGAATTTTCGATAGGGTATAAATTTTTAAATAGCCAAAATACATATCAAAGACCACATAAAGAAAACACTGAGTTTTTACAGTAGGGCCAAGAAAACCCCGATTATTTTAATAAGTTGTACCACACGGCTATCAAGCCCCTCGTAAAATTCTGCGGCGTCTGTTCCACGTCAGGGCGCTGTACGTCAAACTGAAATTTTGGGGTGTATTATACGGGACAAAGGGTGTTACAATACACCCTTTTACATTCCTTTTTTTAGGGTGTAAGGTGAAACGGAGTATAACAGGGAGAGAAGGCAATGGCGCTACTTCCCCAGGATCCAGAGACTTTAGCGTGCGCTAGCCCACTCGGTCACCTATCCCCTTAGGGACAAGGCCAGAGAGCACAGGTCTTTGAACCAGCAACGAACACTTACAGATGTCTCCTTCAATGTGTCCATCTCCCCCCCAACTTCTTAATCTGACAAACACAAAAAACACCCCCCCCCCCAAAAAAAAAAAGAACCCGAAGGAAAAAGACAAGAGTATAAGGAAAGAAGATGACAGAAAAAAAAAAACTATTGACAAATTTAATTGACAAATTCATTTTTAGAGCGCAGCTCTTATACGCCCGTTTCCGAGTTTTGCGGTGTCGGCGTCAGCGTCGCCGTGGGCGTCGGCGTAACCGCACTAAATTTAGCGGAAATATTGACGTCACGTGACCTCAACACCAATTCAATGCCCCGCTAACTTTAGCGGGGTATTGAATTGGTGTTGAGGTCACGTGGCTTCAATTTTCTCGCTAAATTTAGTCGGGAAACTGTGGGTTGAAGGGAGAGTATGGAGGAAGAGGGCAATGTACGGAGGAGGAAGATCGGAGGGTACGCAGGAGGAGAAAAGGGGGGTACGGAGGAGGAGGGAGGGGTATGGAGGTGGAGGGGGAGGAGTAGGGGCATGGCCCTCCCCTCCTTCTCCTCAAAAGCTGCGCTCTGATTTCTCATTACAAAGATTTGTAAACATCTTTAATTTCTCTTATCTTCTTTTCTCATCCTTTTATTTCGCGGTTTTCTTACTATCAGTAAGTGTTCGTTGCTAGTCGAAAAAACTCTGCTGCCTGTCCTTGTCCCTGTAGTGTCGTTTGTGGGTTGCCGAGGGAGACGACCAGGTAACGAACCAAAACTCATTACTTTATTTAACATCGTAAGCCTCCCGCGTTTGTACTCCTCCGACCCACCGCCATGTATTCTCCCCCTCCGCCACCCCCTCGCCTTTGGGGCTCGTCTAACGAATACCAGACAGTGGGAATGTAGCGCCATCTGGTTTTTGGACACCACATTTCCTCTGGTTGAAAAAACCCAAGACTGCGGGTAAAGGACTCAACACTAAAAAGTCTAGAGACTTTTTAGTGTTGTGTCGTTTACCCGCAGTCTCGGTTTTTTTTCAACCATGTGCAATGTACACCAGCACGTTTGCGCCCTTACATTTTGTTCGCATTTCCTCTCTTGCTTAAAAAAAAAAAAACTTCCCAGCGAAAGTTTATTGCG